TCATCACGGGGCTGTGGGGCCGGGGAACCGTGAGGGGCCGTCGTGAGGGGCCGTCGTGAGGGGAACCGTGAGGGGCCGTGGGACCGCGACACAGCGACACACACTCTGCACTCCGCACATGCTGGCTTTCCTGCCTCAGTTTTAAAAGCTTTAAATCGTGGCCTGTCGGGAAATCCGGCAGCTCCTCTTCACGAAAATAGCGTGGTAGCAGGCTGAGTTCAAACGAGGGGGAAGTAGAGTATCAGAGGATTAAGTTCCGTGTAGCTTAAATTTCGGTGTGTTGTGGGCAGTACCAGGTGTGTGGCTGGCGCCCACACTTTGCTTTTGGCCACGCTGTCAGACAAAGCCCTTCTCAGCATCAGGGTCCTTCACCTTCCCACTCCTGGTGCACTGACACTTCTTCCAGTGACCAGGATATGTTTTACTAAAAAAATTACCTAATGCATTTAGATGAAAGATAGAATCGAGACAGCAGAAAAACTATGAAAAGTCAAATTAAAGATAGCAGTTGGAATTGTATTTCAGTCTTATTTAGACTAGTCTGTTGTTTGTTGGGTCGGGTTTTTTCCCCCATATATTCTAAAGGTGGTTTATTAAAACAGGGTAGGTATGTTTGGCCAGTTAACTTCTGGAAATGAAGTATTAAATAGGAAATGTGGTTGAGAAGTTGAGTTTTATTTTGGTATGGTGATCTGTCTGGATGGACAGAGTGGTGTCCTGTCTTGCAAGAGAGATTTAAAAGGTGCACAGTGCTTACTCAGGAGTGAGAACATCAAATTAAACTGTTTATGCTGACAAAGGACAAAATTGGATTTCAGCAAACGATGCAAGATTGTCTGATTGCTTGGCTTGTCTAGGAAAGCTTCTGGCCAAGGCCTATAATGAAATGCATGCATAAAATTAAAGCTCTTGAAGTGTGTAGTTGAGCTTTTGGAAGCAGGCAGAGTGTTCAGGAGTCTCTCGTGGCTGGAGCTGCTCCCCTGGTGCCAGTGGTGCTTCATATTCATAAATCAGCTCTTCATGCAGTGGCAGTGTCGTGCTGCAGAGCAAGAACTCCCACTGCTGGGAGCCAGCCCCCAGCCAGGAGCCACGCTGAAAAATGATCCCAATCCAAGGGGCTGCCGAGATCACAGAATTCTTACCTGGGATGAGCAGCAAATTGAATAACAATGAGTGCCTGTGAATAAATGCCCTGTCAGGGAGCCTTGGCAGTGATGGATGAGGAAGTGCTAAATGTTGCTCTCAAAGCTTTGCACATCCTCTGGTGTGGCAGCAAACAGGTCCTTGGGTGAGGAGGTGGACTGTACTTGGCAATGAGAACTTGTCTTCAGTGAAGGTTCTGCTGAAAAGATCCAGGGCATCTGCTTTAGAAAAGCTCCCCCAGTTGTAATTCGCAGTGAAATTTATTGTGAGCTGCACTTTTTTGCTATGTATCAATAATTAACTTTCACTTTAAATCAATACTGAAGTGGTACAACTGCTCAAGTGAAGACCAGATGGTATTTTTAAAGTCAATTTATTACAGTTGCATGCAGAAAACTTAACAACTTGGTTGTAAATATTCAGGAAATGACCAATGTTACTTAAAGAAGAGAGCAGTAAATTCTCTTATCATTTCATAACTTACCTGGTTCATGCTAATCAGGAGACTGGAAAGCATTTGCCTCTGAGTAGTTCAGCTTCTGTAGTTCTGTAGAATTTGTTTGCAATCAATATTTTTATGTGTGTAGCTATTAGATTAATGCTTCCTGAATATTTGGTTCTAGAATGTTGCTTACTGCAAATATATGCAAAGCAAATTCTTTGGAATTGAGATGGCATTTTTTACTTGATGTTAAATGTAAGCATTTTTAGCAGTTAGTGGATTTTAAATATCTGAAAGGGTTTTTTTTTCCTGAGTCCTATATAATACAAATAAATGATGACTTTGCCAATTATCCTTTGTTTAATTATTCTTATTGCTCACATACGGAAGAGACATAAACTTCAAACGTGTAAAAAATAAATCCAACAAAGAAAATTTCCTATTTCTGCAGAGCTTATTTTGAAATCTTACCTAAAATAAAAACCTGGTTTGGTGTTACTTTGAGCTCAGGTAAAGACACTATTTAATGACACACTATCACACGGCTTTCCTGGAGTTTTAATGGATTTAAGGTTGAATTGCTGCTGAATCTGAACTGGTAGTGACTTAAATTGGTTACCGTGTGCATGAGGTGGGGAATCCACCCTGAGTTAATGGATGGCGTTTTGTCGTGTTTGGATTTTATCCTTCTCCAGACTTAATGTTTGGGAATTGTGAAGCTTGTTTCTGCATAAAGGCAAAGCATGCTTGTTAAAAACGAATTATTGGTGGCACTGAGTGCACGGACAAGAGAGCAGCTGTTTCCCCACACACAAACAAGTTCTCCGTAGACCCTTAATATTCAAGTTTTCTGTGTTTTTATAGGAACTGCAATAAGAAAACCGTACTTGCAGTGTTTACTTAAGTTCCCAGTTTTATTGCCTGCTCTCCTGTCACAATGCAGCTTTCATGAGGCAGTTGGAGTAGTTGGAACATTGTGGGGTTGTTTGGATGGCGAGTGGAATTTGACAAGGAGAGGGAGGTCGGTGCAGTGGGATAGTGAAGTTCTCACCACGGGAGTGACTGTCCATGGCTGCATGTCCAGGCCAGTCCCGGCAGTGCAGGTGGGCTTTGCTCAGCTCTGTGCTCCAGGGCATGTCTGCATGCCAGGAGGGTTTTCCACAACAGTTCCTGTTGCTGTTGTCAAACATGCTTTGTTTTGATGGAGACACTCAGATATGTGCGATGACTGGTGTTTCTGAAAACACGGGGCTTACATCTGGTGCTGGGAACAGTGAAGAATTTTCATTGTGCTATTTAAGATCAGGAAAATATGTTCTTTCAGAGAATGCTTAGCTGTGCTGAGAAGCTTTTGCTAAGGCAGTTTTTTAAATGCAAGCTTGTTTAGGATTTATAAGCACTAGAGAAAAAAAGAAGTGAGTCTATTCAGCTTTTCCAGCTTCCTGTTCTGCCAGAACCTCCTTAGGATCTTGGTTTTCAGCTGTAAATGTCTACATGTAGGTTTAATTAAGTTAAGACTTTAAACAACTCTTTGAAAATTTACATTATAGGACTGTCTGGATTTATTTATTTAAGGTTGATAGTAGATTTGGCATTTATTTGTGTCTTGGTAACATAGTGAGATAAATAATTAAGTGTAATTCTTTATGTATAAAGGATTTCATGTACTATAACATAAGATTTCCCCCTCCTTTTTTCTTTTTCTTTTTTTTCTTTAAGTTACTGACTTCCTGCCCACAGCTTCTTTTGGGAAGTTCTTTTTAAAAGGAGCTGGAGGAATTCAGCCTGAGCCATGTATGCAATTGTGTTATCAATAATTTTGTATTTGTCAGTAGAAGTTCTAAGAAATTACGATCACTTTTTCTTAGCTAAATACCTAATGTAGTAAATTTGGTCAGATATTACATTTTATACTTTATTTCTTGCACATTTTCTAGTCTTTGTCTACTGATTTTGTCAACCTTTCCCCAAGAATAGCGTTGTTTTCCAGCTTTGAGGATTCCCACTCAGCTCATGGTAGGCCATCATTTGGGTATAGCAAGAATGTGGGCTTGGTTTGAGACCATAGCCCAGATTTTTTTTCCCCTCTCATTAGAAATATTCCTATGTCATCCCTGAAGAATTATTATTTTGTTGTTCAGGTTCCTTTATTTGTTTTGGCATACACTTTATTTTGACCTTGTTTGAAGGGTCAGTAAAATTCCTTTTATTTGTGGTTGGTTCTGTGATATCAACTGTTTGCATCAGCAGTTCAGTTTTGCTATTAGTTGCTTAAAAATCTTCTTTATTCTCAGTTTCAGCGTTTAAAAAATGGAGTTGTGTATTGCTCCACGGTGTAAATGAATAGTCATTGCCTGTAATACAAGTACACACTTAGAGTGTCCTACTGCTTTTAGATGTGATGTATTTGGTACTGTAAAGGTAATGATCCTCAACCACAGCAATATTCTGTAACAGGAATATCTGTCATATTCATCGGGATTACCATGTTCATTGATTTGTGTCTGTAAATCTGCTGTTTCAACCCTTTAAATTTGATCTATAATTGGACCTCCTTAAATGGTTCAGCTAAGGTAGTCTGTATTTTCTCAACAGTGTCACTGTCAGCTTCTCCTTTTTCATTATACATTCAGCAGACTTGATAAAATCAGCAGGACACCTCATTTGAAACTGTTTAATCGCTGCCTTTTGCTTTCACTAAACCATTGAGGTGGTCAAGCGATATACACAAATCATTTTAAATAGGAAATATGGCTTTCTCTGTGACCCAGCTAAACAGATAGCACTATGCAAAACAAGTTAAAAAGTAATAAATGCCAAAAAATCTTCTAATTGGAGTAAAAAATTGCAGGTAACTTTATTCACTCCCCAAAAGTAGTGTTCTCTGAAATATGGGTAGGGCCACCGACAGACAAGAAAATCTCTGTGAAGGCTCACTCTTTCTGAACAAAGCAAGTTTACAGTTTCAAATAGTACCATCCTGCTTTTTGTGTTAATTCATGAAAAGCACATTTATAACTCTGCAGTCTCAGTGCTTTGGGCAGAGATGGCTCCTGTTCCATCACTGCATTTGTAGTTTGTCCTTTCTGGAGAGGAACGTTAAACTCATGGTTTTGTCTCTGGCACTTTGTTCAGCTGTTACTGTTCATTATTGTAAAAAGAATGGCACAAAGCAGGAGCACAATTAACTATTTAACTACAGGGGAAATCGGCTGGTGGCAGCAGCCCCCTGCCCTGTTCCTGCTGCTGGGCTGCTCATCCTCAGGGTGGGAGCCATCTCCTCATTCCAGCACCCCTCTAAGAGGGGCAGGCACAGAAGTGGGGCAGGAGGGATGGAGGAGTAGGGACTGCAAACTGCGGCATTCCTTTAACTCTGTTTCTTACCTTGTTTGTGTATCTCACGTTCAAAACGTAAGCAGGAAGGGCTGTCAGGATGGGCCTGCGCCGAGTCTGTCCCCACAAACTGTACCCCAGGATTAAACCGGGTTCTGACTTTCTGTACAGTGCAGAGGAAGCTAAGGTGGGCTTCAGTTTGGTTTGTGCTGATGAGATGTACTGTGTTTTTCTCTAAAAAAACTGCCATACCTAAATGCACTGGCTAAAGGGGTGTCCTGGTGTTGTCACCACAGGTTCTGGATCGCTCGCAGCCATGGCAGTGTTTGAAGATAAATACAAACCCGACATGGAGGTAAGTCTTGGGATTTTAAACCTCAGTGTTTCTTCCCTCAGCAATCCTCGTGATCATAAGAATTCGGGAGGTTTAAAACTCTAAAAAGGTAAATCTGCTCTAGTTTAGCTGCACTTAAAATGTACTAAGTTCAGTTTACTGCAAAACTGTAAAAACTGATGGGTAAAATAAATAAATTTGCAAAAAGGTATATTTATATATGGGAAAATGTGTGATTTGAATGTAGGTGAAGGCTTTAAAAACATACAGCTTACTGGTTATAGTTGACTTCAGGAATTTACCAGCCCTTACACAGTCAGTGTTGTTGCTTTTCTGTCAGTCTGTCCTTCTCTCTCAGTCTTGAAAAGAGAATGCAACAAAAAGTGTCCAGGTTGTACATAAAAAAAAATCTGATTGATTGTGTATATTCAGAACTATTTTTTCAGTTTTAATATCTGCTTAAAAGCTGATTATCAGCTCATAAGATTCATAATTGTTGTGTTTTGCTGATGATGCTGATAAAAAATGGAAAATACTTGATTGTAGTTATAAAAAACCATTCAGGAGAGCTAAAAGCTAGAGTGTCATAAGATCAGAGTAAGCTATTCAGTTACAAATGAATCCAGTGCATTATTTTTGTATTTTCTGTAGTATTTGTTGCATTTGGTTATATTCTACTGCTAATATAAACCCTGAGAGTTCAGATGAAATTAACTATAAAATAATTACAGGGTTTTCTGTAACTGTATTTCATAAAATGCCTCAGGAATGTCAAGTCCTCTTAAACCATATTAATCTCTTTGGACTTTCTGAAAATGCTCCTTCTCATTCCAATTGATTAATAATTCCACAGTGAAGAAAAAATGAGAATTGAACACAAGATTGAAAATTGAACCCATTAAAAATTTCTTGTAACACTAACAGTTGCAGTCATTTCAGCCTAAAAGGCAGATAAAATGAAGCTTGGAGCGCTTCAGTATCACTGAATGATGTAGAAAAGGAAAGTTAGTTTACTATCAGCAGAGGTCTTTCAGATGCTCCTCATTTTTGTAATGCAGCTCCTCATTTCTGTGGGTCATTTCCTCCACTTCAAGTGCACTGTGTTTGTAGGTGATGGTCCCATAAATCCACACTTCCTCTATAAAGCCTGTAAATGAAGTTTAAAATGTGAGATGATCTGTTGTACCTTGGTACATCTCCTGACAAATCACAGTGTGCAATTCCAGCAGATTTTTAATAAAAGTCACCTTCCCACCTTGTTTTGAGAAGTTTGCCATTAGTTAATTGCTTCAGCATTAGTAATAAGCAGATTTCCAATTATGCCTGGCCCCTCTCCTGTCAGTACGTAAGCAAGAGTTGTAGGTGTGCAAAGTTAAGGACACGCAGTGGGACCAGGATTCCTGTGATTTGGGCAGCATCTGAAGACACTGGACTTTCGGCCTCTAGTATATTTACAATTGTTATCAGAAATACTGAAATATGTTTAATAGGCTCCCAAGTGTCTCTGGGAAGGATCCTCACACCAGATGGCTGATAGAGCCACTTGAGAGAGAGAGGAAGACTCTGTTTTTCCCTCTCCCCTCGTGCTGCTGTAAGAACGAGAGTCTCCTTTTCCAGCCTCCTGTGTGATTGTGCACTTGGCATGTGTGCCATTCCACTGAAAACATGGACTGCAAATCCCTGGAAGCAGCAGCTACAGCACAATAGTCCTCTTTCCAAGATACAAATGGCAAAGAGCTGTGCTGTGCAAGTAAAATTTTCATTTATTCTCAGCGAGCTTTCAAGCTTGGATTTTAAGTCCTTTCTTGTGTAAGAGCAACCGAAAAAGACACCAAAAACTGGTAATCTCTAAATTTTCCTATTCAGAAAGGTCATCCTCATTAAACTGTCTTCACACACAACCATACGTGGCAGCAGATAGTCACTTATAACAAGCATGTAGAAATGCAGCCTACCAATTTGTTGAAATAGATATTTAGATCTTTGAGACTTGCGTGCACCTTAACCCTTCCTTTGGCTTTCCTGGATAATCTGTTATTTAATAACAATTCAGGAATTGTATTAACCAAACCAGCAAAGTTTCATGTGATAAAGCTCAACTGTATTCTTAAACACTTCCTCTTCATATTTGTATTTGTGAGTTTGTATTTACATTCTAAGTCAAAGTGGGGTTTTTTTCAGTAAATTAATAAAATAACAAATATTTCTATTGAAATTAATCCAAATTAAATCTGAAGTATGCTATGTATATTTTACATAAAACTTGCAATGAAATGGCAATGAAGATAAAATTGCTGGAGATTAATTTAATAAAATACATAGAAAATTATTATTTTCCTGTCAAGATCAATGCTCCTTTCTTTTGCACTAATTGTCAGAATAGCTTGCTAGGGCTACTGGAGGGTAGTGGTGTGCTTCAAGACCATCACATCACAGAAAAATGATTCAAAGGCAAACTGTCCTGCACCCTCTGGTATCAACTTGCAAATTAGCATCTGGAATGTAATTAAACAAGCTTAATGAAAGTAGCAGCTGAATACTACTGGAAAAGACAATCAGCTTTTTTGCCTCTGATATATATTCTGTACTATTGAAGCTGATCACCAAATGCATCGTGTGAGCACAGTTAAAAAAAAATTAGCATTTATTTGAAGAATAGGAACTGTTTTTCATTCTGTTATGCTTTTGGCATGCACTGGTGTCCCAGGAGAGCCATGCCACAGCAGATAGTGCACAATATTTATAAATCCATGACAGGCAATAATAGCAACTTGAAAAATTCTTTTGCTAGAATTTCAAGTTGAGAGCTGCCAAAAGCTGAGAGGATCAAATCTGCAGTGGCAGCTGCTGTGCCCTACAGTTAGAATCGTAGACTTTGAAGATGCTCAACTAAAAAAAAAATAAAAAAATAATAAAATAAAAAAAGACTGCAGGCTTAGCCAATTTTTGCAGGTTTCTAGAGCCCTGGCTCTCTGCCTTTTGAAGATGAGTTGCTGAAGCTTCTCCCAGTGCCTGAGGCATGCTAACACCAGCAGGATGTGTTTTTTTCCATAGACTTAGTGTGTCTTCAGATTTAAGTAGCACATGCTTTATCAGTGCCAACTGTGATGGTCCTTTCCCTGGCTGCAGTGCTGGGAGATGATCTTTACCCAACATCCTTCAGAGGAGCTGTGGAGATGGATGGTGACGTCCCTGAGTGCCACTTGTGCAGCCTGATTTATGGAGGCAGGGTTTGTTGGGAAGGAGTGCTGGCCTCTAGAGGAACCATTATAGATCGCTGAGGATGGGAACACTTTCAGCCCTGAAGGCCTCTAGATGCTTCAAAAATGTAATGCCAAGCACCTAACTACTGCGGAACAATATTAATCTGTCATGTGGGCAGCTATAGATCTACCTTAAAAAACGTAAGTGGAAGAACAGCACATCTAATGGAGCTCAGATCTCTCATTGCAGCCAATTTTTCTTTCAATAGAGTTGCCACATTTTTAAACCTTACAGTCATTTTGTAAATGCATTTGTGCCTTCTGGTGTTAAACAATAGCAAAGAAATACTCTTGAGTCAGTGGATATGGAAAGCATTGTGAGCTGGGAAAAAAATGCCTACAGTATTAAATGCTGGAATTCTGGGTTTATCTATCCTGTGGTGATTGAACTCCTCAGGAGATAGGGAGGGAGATATATTTTCTTCTGGTATTTGATTTCTGGTGTTTGAAAAATAGAAGCATTTTGTCTGTAGAATTACTTGATGCACAGCGGGGTTATGTTGTAGACTTCCTGTTTAAACAAGGCAAGGCTTCTTGTAACTTAATTTCTTTTCTGTAGTTCATCAAAATAGCCAGGTTTGTTAAAAAGAGGCTCCAAAAGGAAGAGAAGTAGAAGCTACAGAAAACAAAACTTTTGCAAAGAAAAGCAAGTAAATCGTGGAGTTGTGAGTTCAGGAGCAGAACAGCTGGAAGAAAGGAGATAGGAGATAGTCTGGAAGATACTTAATAATTATTTCTCAGATCACAATAATTATTTTTAGATCACAACAAATGTGTGAGATTGTATTTACAGTCATTTATTGTATCATTTCTTAAATGTGGCAGGAAATCAAGTGGTACTGGATGAAAACAAAAATACCCTGGAGGGTAAGAACAGATGAATAAGAGAGGACTGTTCTGAGTGTGTTCTACGTGGAGCACAGGCCCTCTTGGTGCTGCAGCAGCTGTGCTGTCCCAAAACCTGCAGCTCGGCCCACCAGAGGGGGGTGGTCCCCTGCTGTACTTTAGTGACCGCTCTGCACTGGGGGCTTTGTGGCTCACCTGTTTGGGTGGGCCCTACATGGGCTGGGAGCAATCTGATGAGCAGTTTGGCAGGCAGGTTTGGGAGAAGTGGTTTTCAGTAGCCCCTAATCCCTGAGTGAAGTAGCTGAGGCACAGAGAGCGTTTTCCTCAGGATGCTCCATATGCTCTGGGATCTTTGCAGTATCGAAATGCAAAGTAGCCTGAATGCAGCTTTCACTGTGCACCTCTTATTTCAGTAAAAAAAAATACATCAGGCACACTAAAATATTATGGTAACACGTCACTTTCTTCCATTTTTCAGCAGCTGACACATAGATCTCTCAAATGTTCCTGTGCTCACATTTCCTACTGTCCCTCAATATGGTAGAATTATTTTTGTTTATTAACTACTGACAACAATACTGAGCTATTTTTGGAATCTGTCAAAAGTCTCTAATCTTCAACAATAGTTGTCTCCCCGGTGTTGTCGCCCGTGTCTTTGTGCCGGGGGCTCAGGAGCGCTGACAGGCTGCAGATGAGCCCTGTGTTCATTAGTGATGGTGATCAGCTCGGGCTCAGGTGTGGCAGCCGCGGCTGATCCTGCCAGCTGACACCGCAGCTTTAATGACTCCGCAGGATGGTGACCACTTGCTGGGAGGTTTGTGGGCTCCACTCTGGCAGCAGACAATGGAGATCAAGCCAGACTATGGGAGTTAGGCTGGAGAGGCTGCCTGAGATACTTGAACGCCTGTTGGT